AGAAGCAGTCTCAGAACACATACGATGTGGAGAAATTGAAGCAGCTGCAGCAAGCTATGAAGATCTTGTACTGAAAGTTGGAGAGGTCCAGGATCTACTTGCAGAGTTTGACAAGGCTAATGAAAACAAACCAACCTTTACCTTCTGGCGACAATACATGGATCTTGTGTCTATTCTCCTGGCATTCACACGGGCTCTGAGATGTGGTTACTGGAAGTTGTACATGTCAGTCTTCAAGCGCATGATGCCTTGTTTTGCCGCTTATGATCACACCCATTACACAAGATGGGGTGCTGTATTCATAGCAGACATGGAACATCTGGCACAGACTGCACCACAGGTCTACCAGGGTTTTCTAGATGGTGATTTTGTAGCCAAGGAGACCAATCACAGCTTCAGTGAGGTGCCTTTTGATCTGTGTCTTTAGCACATCAACAAAACCTGAAAGGTTGCTGGAGGATTGGTTGGCATCACTTGAAATGAGTCAGCTTGAAACCGTTGGTCCATCACCTACAATGAACTAGCATCTTTAGCACAGGATACCAGATCCTTGTTTGGACTGACACATGAAGGAGAAGATGATGAAGACACCCACAAAGACTGCCTTCCATCAAGACTAAAGAGAGATAATGATGATGTAACTCAACTTGTAGACTAGTTCCAGAGATACCATGTCTTCCAGCTGGATAATATGCATGAGTTGGTGTCTTTGACAACTGGTGATGTGGCTTCATAAGATATACTGAAAGACCTTAGAAATGCTGCAGAGTCTGGGAAACAAATGGTCACTGAGTTGGTGCAAAACCGATTGAGCACAACGAGTATAGACTTTCACAGCAGCCTTACCAAAACATTTTCAAATCTGTACAGCACAGATAAAAAATGTGAAAAACCCAAGTGTGTGAAGCCTGACAGGGATATTTTCCGTCGCATCATTGTACCCATGGACAGTGGTAGAGAGGTTAACATAGACGAGCTTCTCCAAAAGGAACTGTGTGCAGTCCCCCTGTCACTTGCCACAACAGATTCAGTGCTCCGACCTACTAACAAAGCTGACTTAGCCACCATACTACAAGCTGGTGCAAAGGGGACAGAGCTGAGTCCATCTATTGTGAGCACATGCACCATCATTGATGGGATGGCCTTAGTAAGAGCAATAGGAAAACCTCTAAATGCATCAACCTTTGGGGATTATGCTGACATTTTCATGCAGAAAGTGATGGGTCATCTACATGGGAACATCACTAGAGTGGATCTAGTGTTTGATCAGTACCAACAGAACTCGATAAAGGCTGGAACAAGAGCAAAATGTAGCACTGCTCTACGAAAGATTCGCACCATTGTCAGTAGGGATGTAAAGATACCTGCTGACTGGAATAACTTCATTGAGATGGATGAAAACAAGGCCAACCTGACCCAATTCCTATTAAATGAGCTTGAAAGGAATGTGCACCGTTGTGGTCAGGAAATTGTAATAAGTGGGGGATTTGACGACCCTGAAAAAGTGGCATCACGAGCAGGAATTGATGTTTCCCACCTTCAGGCTACGCATGAAGAGGCAGATACCCGCATATTGCTACATGCAGTTGATGCAACAGCCAAAGGCTATCAGAGGCTCATCATTCAGTGCAGAGACACAGATGTACTGGTGTTACTTCTTGTGTTTGCACACCGACTAAGTCCAGAAGTTTGGATGAAAGCAGGAACAGCCAAGAAACCACACTACATCAAGGTCCATGATATTAAACTGCCAAATGAGATCATCAATGGTTGTTGGCATTTCATTCCATCACTGGTTGTGATACAACTAGCCAATTTACTGGAATAGGAAAAAAGACTGCATGGAAAGTGTTCCAGCAGTGCCCTCATGTCCTCCACAACTTTGGTGAGGAGGAAGTACCAAGTCCAGCTACTCTGTGTTTGGCAGAACAGTTTGTATGCAAACTGTATGACCCGAAATCAACCAGTGACTCAATCAATGAAGTTCGCTGTGCCCTGTTTCGGAAAGTGAAAGCTAATGTGGATACTTTACCACCAACAAAGGATGCTTTGACTCTGCATCTCATGAGGGCCCACTACCAAACAATGGTTTGGAAACAGTCACTAGTGACTCATCCAAAGTTGCCCTCACCAACTAGTTGTGGTTGGCACATGAAGGATGGTGTACTGGTTCCCCAGCTTTTAACCAAAGAACCTTTACAGGCCAGATGTTTGGAGCTGACAACCTGTGGATGCAAGGAAAGTGGAAGTCAGTGCAGTACCAGGCAGTGTCGATGTCGAAGGAGTGGAGTATATTGTTGTGGGGCATGTGGGTGTGCCTGTGCAGCTTGGTGCAAGAATACTCAGGTACCAACATAATCATCACTGATATGTTTTTGTCATGTAGATTGGGCTTATGTTATGTCCTCTGGTGTGATGTATTGTATTGTATTCTGAAAGTAAAAGCATCCTCAAAACTAAAACTATAAACTCTTCTCTTGTGTCTCTGACCAGGACTCTGACTGAGCACATGGACATGGTCCCTAGGTGCCTTCTCACAGCTGTCTGCTATCATTGGAGGATGACAGTTTGGATGGGGAAAAAAAAAAAGTTCTAACGACAGGGTTTACTGGAAATTGCATGTTGCCAAAGTGAATGAAGATTCTGTAATTTTGTGATTATGTAATTATTAAACAATGTTTTTGTCAAAATCATCCCTAAGTTGCCTCAAATGTATTATATCTTAGCCATACAAATATTACACAGTTATTACTACAAATCATTAGTAGTTACTAACTCTAGAGGAAGTGAGACAGCTGTTGAATTTGGAAGGAATTTGTAGTGAAATGTCAAATAAATATTCTAGATTTCCGCCTGGACATTTAAGCACTAAAATTTGTGCAGTGTTGCACTGTCTCACACTATAAGCTTTAAACTTGGCATGACTTATTCCCCTACATTTGGGTACTGATTGATACAGGTTTGGGGCTACTATCTTGTGTTTCCAAGTTGATATTCACTTTAAAAACTGGCTCTCTTTAGGCGGAGATTGATTTTTACAAGTTCTAGCCCTATTTGCTCTTACACTGTTAAATAAATTTTCATTCTGACACTTCTGCAGACATCCCCTGAGTGTAATCTTTCATTTGATATCAAGTTTGTGTATGTGGTCCTTGTGGTTGTGGAGATATTTGACATTTATTGTGGGCAGGTCGTGTTAAGCAGGAAACCTGAAAATTTGCTTAAAATTGCTTCCAAAACTCACAAAAATAATTTTTCAGGTTGACAACCACCCTAGAATTTCACTTATAGGTCCCTTCTAACTAAAAAAATAGGTTGTCATCTTGTACCCAAACATGTCCGCAAAAGTCTTAACGGAAGCACTTTTCAGAATTGGCCCCCTGACTATATCCCACGTATAGGCTACTAACATCACCCAGATGTGCCAATCACCGGGCCGAGGAAAAAACAAACCATAGGCCAGCACCTTATCCCTGCTACTGTCTAGCAGCCTTAGGACGCAGATGCAGAATGGGATATGTTTCAGATGTTGCAAGTATGTTAATGGAAACACGTTGAACATGATAACGCACAGTACAGCATCACCCAGATGTGCTGACAGTGGCACCCCTCTATAATGTAGTCTGTAATGACATGACAAGACACAACAACCTGATGATATTTTTTCTGGTGGTACACTTTTAGAAGTGGAACAGTGTGAATCAGTGTAGAACAATGCAAAAACAAACTATTTATTTTGGATGGTAACACGTTACATGACATTGTAAATGTTAAAATATTAGATCCTGTTGGTAACACTTTATATTACTTTGTTACTGCTAAAACGTAACATTACTGCAATGTGTTACTTTTGTAATGCATCACCCCCAGCACTGACTGTATATTTATGTATATTTATGCTGCGTCGGAAGGGGCCTGTTGCGGTGGTCCAGGCATCTGATCAGGATCCTCCTTCGTACCTCCCGTTAGTGGTGTTCTGGACACGTCCAACTGGTGGGCGGCTCTGAGGCAGACCAAGAACATGCTTGAGGGATTATATATCTTGTCTGGCCTGGGAACACCTCTGGACCCCGCAGGAGGAGCTAGAAAGTGTCGCCGGAGAGAGGGATGTCTGGGGTACTGGGGTAGCCTCCTGCTCCCACGACCCAGCCTGAATAAGCGGTTGAAAATGGATGGATCCAATCTAATCCAATCTAATTGATTTCAGCTAGTAGTCATTAGTTTGGTTTTCTCTGTAAAGACTGAAATATATGTTAAGATCTATGTTACATTCGTCGGGAGCATTGATAAAGACGCTTTACTTAGAGGCATGCATCTAAAAATAATGCATGATGTCCCTGGCCAATCATAACCAAGCATTCCTGTGGTCCATTTTTTCAGAACCAAAGACAGACTTTATTTAACACCTCAAAGCAAGTGATAGCAGTTGTTTTTATATATCCTGAAAGGTCCCCTCTTCACATTTCAAATTCTTTTCATGGTAGAGTTTAAATGTGAGTAGTATATTTCAGACAAGTAAGAGCATGTTACATGTATAATATAGTTTGAAACATTGGTGCCATGCCTGAACACATCCTGTGAGACACACATGGAACACAGATGCTATTGCTCTGCTAACATGCTGTTCTCATTATTTATCATAACACAATGGCAGAGTCATGTGCCAGTGCACCTCTATAATTAAAGATAGACTAAGTAAAATAAAACTTTAAATGAGCTTGATTAAGACTGAAAACAAGATAGTTATTGTTGTTTATTGTGGTCAGGAGGAGGTGAACAGAGCACAAGGAGAGGAGTTAACGGGAGAGTTGAGGGGAAAAATAAAGTCAGCCTCAACTGAGCCCATTTTCTTTTGGGTGAAGGTACAATCTATAATCTCTGACCTGACCTAGTTCCAAACAATTTTCTCTGTAATTCAAAGGTCTGCTCCCCTTTTCACCTGCTTGTTCTTTAAGTTTCCCTCTTTATGTCCTGATGCTTATGTGTGTCTCTCTGTCCAGGATGATGATTTGGAGACTGACTTGAACAAACTACGTCTTCCTCCTGACCCAGACAGACCCAAAGAGCTGCTGCCACAGTATAGCCGCCTCTGTCCTGAACTCTCATATGACTTCCAGGTACACGTTTATATTGGCAACTGGTGACTAGAATTTTCACAATTTTTACTGTAACCCTAAGTACCACCCTTGAATGCAGACTGGCCAATCATAGCACAGCAGCAGCCAGCTCTGATGCAAGATCTGCCAACTTTAAAGCTGGGCTCCATAGACTCATGCAATAGTTTCAGATTTTCTTTATTTTCAGGCCGGATTTGTGGATGTTGAGGTAGTCATGGTTAAACATTGTTCAGTTCAGACAACTTTATTTATCTTTTAGGCAAGGCAATTCAGTTTCGCAATTCACCCAGTAAAGTACACACACTCACATTTCCATTCACAGCTCACAGTTAGTGTTACAGCAGTAAGGAATGTCTAAGATAAGAGGCATGTAATATAGTGCAGTAATACTAATTAATACAAAGATGGGTAAGAACCGCATAAAAACCATAAAAGACCATAAAAAACCCCATTAAAAACCACAAAAAAAACTACAGACCACAAGGAAAAACAACTAAGGAATTGAGGTGTTTAGCAAATCCTTGTCATCCACTCCCTCAACCTCAATAGTTTGCTTGGTCTCATGTGGAGAGTGGTTGATTGAGGCCATACATTTGATTCTACGCCAGGCTGCTCTGAGGTCACCGTTATTATACTGTGCTTCAATTTTTCTACTATAGTATATTTTTTCCCTAACTATTGCACACTTAACTTCTCTGGAAACGTCTTTCAGCTTAGCTTCAGATTTTTTTCTTTTTGTTGAGAACAGATTTGAGGTCTCAAGTAATCCACGGTTTGTTATTTGGGGACGTAACAAACTTTTTAGTTGGGATAACTAATTCCTCACAAAAAGAGATATAGGAGGACACAGTGTCACACAGCTCGTCAATATCCTGGCAAGCGTCAGAGAAACACTCCTAGTCGGTACAGTCAAAACATGCTTGCAAAGATGAGACACTATCGTTAGACCAAGTCTTAACCTTCTTCTCTGTACATTTAAGACGCCTGAAGGTGGGCCTGTACACAGGCATCAGGTACACACTGTATTGTAAAGTGACCTTGGGTTTCTTGGAAGGCGTTATATAAATTAAAGTTATTATTATTAGTAGTATTATTACACACTAGTGTGGAACGACGTGCTGAGGGAGGCGCGAGCATCGTTATGGACTCATACGCATCGTGCACCAATCCATAATATAGGTCAATCATTGAGTTTTTTTGTGTGGTGGCGCAATATACATATTGTTCATACATCCTCAGGGTTTTACTCAAGGTACATCGGTTAAAATCACCAAGAATAAACTTTGGAGCGTCAGGGCAGATAGCGTCCAGTCTGTGGCTTACGTCAGCAATCAGCTGAGAAACAGCTGACACGTTGGTCCGCGGGCGAATGTAAACAATAGTAAAAAATAGCTGCTGGAACTCTCGAGGCAGATAGCATGGACGGAGAGAGATTGAAAGGAGTTCAGTATCAGGAGAGCATATCCTCTCTCGCACAATAGCAGTGTTACAGTACCTCTGGTTAATTTAGAAACAAACTCCCCCTCCTCGTGATTTTCCTGTGATCTTCGGTGAGCGGTCCAACCAAAGCAGGCTACCAAACCCGCTGAGTGAAGTCCTCATCACGGTTAAGACCAAATATTCATGACGGATTTGGGATTCACAGAACCACAGATGATTTATCATTTGGTAAAATCATCACTGGACATTTAAAGGCTTTTTCCTCTGCATGCTCTTTGTCTTTCAAACAAAGAGAGCTATGTAACACCCATCTCCACAGGAGGTCTCACCTCACACCTCAGTGAGACACAAGTCTCACAACTTGATTGGACAGGACTTTTACAGTGACATGTGACTCTGATGTCATAGGCATCTGTACAAGGTCTGCTCCCTTCAGACAACTCTCTTTTTGCTCCAACTGCGGAGCACTGCACACCTCTTTCCGGCTGGGCCTGGAACAGCAGAGGCCCAGACCCTTGCTCCATAGCCCCAAACCACTAACGGGAGGGCAATTGATCACAGACTCTCTTGCAGACACAAGGTTTGCAACTAGCTTTCCAGCAACAAGGAACTAAGTGAGTTAGCACCCAGCGCCTAACTCTGCTAAACCCTGAGCAACCAGCTTCTTCGGAGTTTCACCTTTGGAACAAAGGACCCAACAAAGACTGCACCTGGAACCAACTTCCCAGCCTTCTTCTGCCGGCTAACAAAGCAGCACACCCCCAAGTGACTCTTTATCCCATCCATTCAAGGATCGGTAACGTAACAACTGGGCATAGCTTATCACAGCTTTACAGGCTAAGCAAGACTGTTTAACTTGTTGTATGTGATTTGATGCTGGTCATTGAGTTATTGTTGTGATAGTTTGCAGTTAGGTCATTGATTAGTTGGCTTCGCCAAAGCTAAGTGTTTAGTTTGCTAATACTGTTCACAAACAGATTCTTGCACACAACTTAACAATCTCTGCACTAATCCAGACTGTTTGCAACACACGTCATATTGACACAGACTCATTAACAGGCATCTCAAAGTTCCCGCTTCTTTTCCTTTGTCTTTGTCCTGACCACACGGTCAGATAAACACCTTCCCCGACCTGAAGCCAACTTTGATTCGGTCATCTTTAATTCCCTGTTGTCGGCCATTTTGTTTTGTAGACCAAACGGCTCTTTGATCACCACACCCACCTTTGTCTTTCTCTTCTTTCTTTCTTTCTTTCTCTCTCTCTCTCTCTCTCTCTCTCTCTCTCACTCACACAAACACACACACATACACACCAAGCTTGTATATAGTTAGTTAGAATTTGTGTGTTTTGGTTTGTTTTGCTATTTTGTGAATAAATATAATTTTTTGGAATCATTCCTTCTGTCTGTTTAATGTTGCACAAGAGTGAATGAATAGTCAACCTCTGCTGCATCAAGAACTCCGAAATCCTTCAGGTGTTACTGTTAATTTTGGTTGTTGTCATTAATTTAATTATTAATCAAACTCCAAATTAATAGTTTAGCCTATTTTATGAGACTGATATCTTTAACTGGCTATCATTTTTCCACGAGGTGATTTGATGTTAATTAAGTCACATTATTTAACATAATTATTAGTTATTAATAATAATTGTTAATTATTTCCGATAGCCAATTAAATCCCAACATATTTGGTGTCCCTTGGTGAGGCCTAATGTGTTGACCCCAACATTTTGGTGCCTCCGTGTGAAACCAGAATTTATGTTCCCAACAACGGGATGAGTTGAAACAGGCAACCACTTGCACTGCACCGTTCTGCAACATTCTAAAAATCTGCCGGTTCACACCAATGCAACTAGATGAGACAGTGTTCATCTCTCTGCAACAACTCTCTGTAATTCCGTTCTGATTTTTGTTTTTTCGGGCTTATTTTGTAGGGTGAATATAATTTGTACCTCTTAAAATGTGAATGAATAGTGACAGTGAGATACTGGCTACAGTTGCATTTGCAGTAGTGATGAAACAGTGAAAAACATTTACAAAACAAGCATCAGATGGACTGTATTCATACCAAATAAGCCACAATAATATAAATCACCATTGCCAATTAATCAGTCAATGACAATGGACTGTGCAGTCAGACTGTTGGTTTTCACTATTTTTGTGTCTAGAATTTGACATAAGAGTGCTGAGTATCAGTGTAAATTCTTTTGCCCACAAGTGGTGAGTTCATTATGTCCCATGAGCTGTCTAAGCTGTTTCAGTCTAATAAACGAGCAAATAATCATCTCTGTTAAATGCTACAGTCATATAAACACTTAAGCTAAATAGCCGTCACTGACAAACCTTTCAGTCTTGATTCCAAATTGGCTACCCAGCCTACTGACAGTTACTGCTCACTGTGCTTTGTGTTAATGTTAGCCAGTGAACAAGAGACTATAGCCACACAGCGGCTCTCGTTCCCTACTTTAGAGGGTTTGTGCTGTGCAACCACAGACGTGCTACTGGCTTGGCTGCTGACAAGAATCTGTCGCTGTGCAGCAGCTTGTGCTTAGGCTTTGGAGTCGTGTATGTTACTGTGCTACTGGGTTAGCTGCTAAAGAGTGTCTTTAGCTGCGCGGCGGCTCATTTTTTGGCTTGGTGTGTGCTGTTGCTTTTTGATCCACCACTTCCTCACCATTGCCCTCAAGTTTCACAGCAAAACCAGGAGTACTCCAACCACGTAATGTCGTTACTAACCATCTTACAACAAGCTAGCTTAGCGTAGCTGCCTCCCAGTGGAGTTGAATGTTCTCGTTTGGGGGTTGGAGGGGCAAACAGCATGTCGCCTGTTCCATCCTGTGGGCTGCCTTGTTGAGCGTAGTGGCAATGAGAACATTATATCAAGCACAGTTTAAAGCAACTCTTACCTTTCTTGCATTTCACACACCACTGAGAAAAAATTTGAACATCCACAACTCTCATCTCCCTCCAAAGTCCCATCCCCCTCCTCCTGCACCTCCACCTCCCTCCAAAGGTCTACTCACCCGTCCTCCATTACATCCTCATTACGTCTATGATAGACGTAGGCGTTGGCAAGGTAACGTTAGATACACGGAAGAGGAGAGTGAGTGTAACTTTACAATCAAGACAGTCAAACGCAACCCTGGAGTTGTAAAACTCAACCGGAGTCAGTGATGACTGATGAGTTTTAGAATAAGGTTACAGTGCTCAAGGTAGATAGTAGCGTTAACGTTACTAGTAAGTGGAAACATAGAACGAGGATAACATTAATGTTTCAGAGGCTATGCTACAGTAGGCTAACATTAGCCATTAGCTACTGGATGCTGTGTTGTCATATATAATGTTATGAATTGAACTGAACTTCTTTATTTGTTATTTTTATGTGCAGCACAAACACAAAATGAAATTTCACATACCCCAAGCAAAAAGAAACAAAACATTTGAAAACAATTTGTGCAACATGTAAGAAAGTAGTGACGTCATGAGAACCGATACTTGTGATACCTTTTGAAAAAAACCTAGTGATACTCATTTTTTTGAAAAAATGGAAAAAACGAT